GCTGGGTGCTGGAAGACTTGCACCTGGCACGGGCACCGTAGCCAGCCCGTGCCCCTTTAAGGGGTCCGGGGCCGGGAGGGGGGCAATAGAGTTTCCCTGGTGTTGGCCAGAGTGGCCACCAGGGAAAGCTGGGGAGGGCTAGCCTCCCACTAGTTCGAATTAAGGGGCTACACACCCCTTAATTCGAACTAGTAAGTTCGGACTAGGCTTAGTCCTCGTAGAATGAGGCTTACCTAGTTCGAACTAAGCGCTCCGCTAGTTCGAATTAAGTTCGAACTAGCGGAGCGCTAGTGTAGCGCCTATGAAAGTTAATTTGAACTAACGTCCGTTAGTTCGAATTAACTTTGTAGTGTAGACATACCCCAAGTCTCCAAGTTCCCAATCTAGCAAACTATGCACTGGACTATGCTGTCTCTCTTAATGGGGGGGAATGAAACAACTCTACAAACTATAAAAGCAGAATCTTCTCACTTTAGTTCAATATCATATTTTCCATTAAAAAGTAGATTCAAATGATTTCTTAGATGTAAAAAGCTGGTTGAAATTTGAGAAATAATAGTTCAGTGCAGGAAACAGAGAACCCCTTTGTCTTTTACAGTGATCAACACAGCAGTTTCACATCCAGCATTTGAAAACAGCTTTAAGAACTCTTCCTCTTTCTCTCTCCCCTCCGCCCAATAAAATAGTAGAGATCAAATCCAGGTATGTGCAAAGCCTTGATTTCCATGAGAGTTGCAATGGCTAAGCACTACTCAGGCTTCAATTCTATGGGCATTTTTTGCACATGCCATACTTTACACACAAGTGTAGTCCCACTGACTCAGACAGGACTACTCAAGGTACATAAAGCTACATATTCAAGCTACAATTACATCCACATATTCTCTCTCTCTTAACAAGAGGAATGGAGGTATGTCTAAGCAGGACTTAAATTCTAAGAGATAATTTTTTGGAACCCCCACACTTCTCCCCATTAGGGGGGCTGGGCAACATCTGTGAGCCAGGGGGTCTTGAGGCTTCTGCCCTGCAGGGTGTGCTGAGGCTCCTGCAGATTTCAAAGTATTTACCAGAGCTCTGTACCAGATGGCTCCAGCTGAATTTAAACCCGGTGTGTCTAAGAAACCAAATAAAACTGTTTGTTCAGAATAACAGCTGCCTCAAGTACAAATATTCTTTATGCACAATTCTATATATATATATAT